ACCTCTCTCGGGGCCCTGAACAGGCCTGGGATCGGTGGCCCCTCGGTGGGAGGCTCTCCGCCCGCCCCCTCCTGCTCTGGGAGAGGTGTCGCTGGGAAAGGGCAAACCGCGTCGGGGAAGACACTCGCGGCATGTGGCCGACAAGAGCGATTCAGCCCATCGAGTCTGGCGGGCTCAACCCCCTGGGCCGTTGGCGTCCGGCCTTCGTGTCGAATACTTGGTTATGTAGTTGGGTACCTTAATTGACTCTCATTTGATTTCCTTTGATTTAGGGCGCCTTGATTTACTGGGTCCTTAACTGCACATCGCCCAAGCCCGTGCGAGCGGAGTCCTCCCCTGCAAAGCCCCAGTCCATGGTCGATCTCCCAGGTCGGCCGGGTGTGGGATGGACTCGTCATTCCTCCCCCCCCGGCCGGCTGACCTGGTGGGCGACCGGCGACATTTTGGAATCGGCTAGTGGGAGGCAGCTCATACGTCTGCCCGACGACTGGCCAACTGTCATGTGCCAATGTGGGTGCTCGGGGGAGCCAGTTCCATGAGATCTCCGAAGGGATGGGGCGAGGAATATGCACCTGCTCCGGGGCAACGGTGTATGGCATGATACTCCCCTTGGACGAGTGACACTGTGGGTCTTTGGTTTGTGGTGCGCTTGGACCGGCCTTTGGTGGACAAGGACAATCCAGTGGGCGTCGGTGTTGTGGGGTAAGCGGCGTCCCTTGGCGCATGTGCCCGTGTGCCTATGTGCTTGTGCATGGTCGACGGTCCGACCTCGGACATGACGCTGGCGTCGAATCATGTGCTGGCATAGAGCTCGGTGCGATGGATTGCCTACCGGGTTGATGGGGCCCTACACGACGCTCTTCCGATCTGCTGGCGTCGAATCATGTGCTGGCATAGAGCTCGGTGCGATGGATTGCCTACCGGGTTGATGGGGGGATCCGCCCGGATCAATTGAGCAAGGCAGTTGAGGACACCAACCGCCCCGATGGCCTGGCCATTGGCCCAGGCCGATCTCGGACGAAGTGGACGTGTCGTGCGGCTTGCGGAGCACGATGGTGCCCTTGGCGGTGCTCGAGCTAGCTGAAAGAATTCGAAATGTAGCTCATGGCAGGCAGGCAGGAGCTGGACATCCTGGCAAGGTGACAAGCCTCCAGACGGCGGGACACGAAGAATGCGCTGCATCAGCGGTCGCACGATCCGGCAGCGGGGATGGAGGGGGCTAGAGGGAGGTAATTCGCCTTTGGCCGGGCCATCATGTTGGACATTCCGCCTTGCCGGCAAGCCCATGCTGGCTGTCGTGCTTTTGCCTGCTCGCCCGGCTTCCTGTCCGTGAGGGAGGCTGGGTTGGAAGATGAGCCCATCTTGGGGAGATCGATCGGGCCAGAGAAACATGTGGGGAGTTTTCGGGACTACATTCACACGTGGGAGATTAGTCTAGTGGTATGATTCTCGCTTCGGGTGCGAGAGGTCCCGAGTTCGATTCCCGGATCTCCCCG